AGAGAATGGATATAAACCCCCACCCCTTTTCCTGATGCTGCATATTATATAAATCAGTGACATTTGTGTAACCATTTTGAAATACTCCACGGTTTGTTAATTTACAGTTGCATAGAGAGGGAAAGAGGAGGGGAAAACACACACAATATTATATAAAACCACAACATCCTCATCTTTGGGTAGTTCAAGTGTTTTCCTATTTGAAGTAAGAACACACAGAGCTAACAGTATGTTACAAGGTCCCATGCAGCCGTATGATTATTGGCATCTGTAGAAAAGGAGTTGCATTTAATGTCAGGAAGAGTGGGCAGTCTTCAAAACAGAAAACTTCACATTGCCTGAAGTCAAAGGGGGAAAAGAGTAAGAAGAAATTATTATCTTACATACTGTTCTTAGGTAGCAACATCATTCAACATAAATATTTTGAATCAAGTTCTGAAAGAATGGCCATTTCTGCAACAGCAGAAGGTGCAGATGCACAGCTTGCAGAACTTGATGGGGCCAATGGAAACAACACCTAACCATGGTTTGTTTTCCTTACCTCTATATGCAATCCCCTTTAGCAGTATCTAAAAGGGTGGATTTACAACCTCCAGCTTCTAGGCTTCACAAATATATCATGCCTCCCACAGACAAGACTTAGCTTGGCAAGTTAAACCAGTTTCACTGTATGTTTGTGGCCTTTTCCAGATTTAACAAACCATAGGTATCAGTAATGTCTGCAGTGGACAATGGTGATCAACCCTAGAGGGTCCTGTGAGCTCCTCATATTGCAAAACAAAGTGAAAGGGTTCAAACAAAATATTGTTTCTCTCTCTTGTTTAAACTAAAAACACACACAGGCACAAACCAAGATTGTGCAGCGGATTATGGCACACTTGCCATGGGATCCCAACAAAAAACTACAACTTCCTGCAGTAAGCAAGTCCTGCCGTGGTTGTAACAGTTAGAAGCATATTGCCATCAATCACCAGACTGAATTTTGCAAACAAGTAGATGAGCACATTTGTTTTAAACTGTGTTCATAGTGAGGAATGAATTGTAAATGTGCGAGTTTACTTTTCTAAACGGTGAAACAAAAACTGCTGAAAAATGCAGAGTTAATTACAAAGTTGCATGTAAGTTTATACTTCAGTTGTGGACACACAACTTTAAAAGTACTGAAATACATCATACCTGTGGTCTGCCGGCAAAATTTGCTGTAAATAAGAAAACAAAACGATTAGCTGCAATAAATGAAATGTCAAGGATTAAGATGAAACTTTCTCAAAAAATAGCCAGCTAAATAGCAATATATATTCTCCCCGCCCCTTTGATTCTGAGCATAACTACTATTTTATCATAACTTGTTTCTATTAAATCTGCTGGCACATACCTTTCTGGTTTTGCATAGTCCTGTTAATTTAAATTCAAACTGTTTTAAATTATGGGTGATCTCCAGTATTAGCACTATTCTGAGTTGTGCAGTCCAGTCACTTCTGCTAAGAACAGCCTAGCCCTAGCATACTTGGCACCAAAAAGGAGCCTCCGGTTTCTTAGGCAGTTCAGCCACACCACTTGCACCCCTTTCTTTGTTTGGGGTTGTGACAGAGGGAGATGCTGCATATACAGAGTGGTTTTTCTTTTCTTTTCAGGGTGTCATGCGTGTAGCCTCTGTGAAAAAAGATGGGGAAGTGCTATATGTATGAATGGTGTTTTGTGTCCTGTTGTATGATACTATACATACATACTGTGAGTAAGGGGTGTGGTGTGTGGGTGTGGGTGGTCCATTGTAAAAAAGAGATTTGCAGTTCAGGAAGGTGTGTTTATGCTTATTCTGTATGTAGAAAGTTATCCATTTTACAGAAGAGAAAAACTCTGCCTTTATGTTCCCCGTCTGCAAAATGGACAGCTCATTTTTGTATACCAGCTTTCTGGGCAATAATCTGTTTGGGAACATGACTTGCTTGAATTATTTGACCTGTGTGTGGTTTATTTTCTGCCTTCTCGTTGTGGCACAGTTAGGGTGTATTGTGCTGTGATCTAGGGGGACCTAACAGCATGCAAAGAAGTAATACACAGATATTAGTCATGTGAGGGGTATGAGTGGAAAGTTTGAATTTGCCCAGGATAACAAAATATCTTGAGCAGGCCCTGGAAAAAATTATTAGTTTTTGAAGGTTTTTTACACTTTATAATTCATACAAGAGAAAATAGTCAAATGCATACCATCTGCTGAACATAATGGGCCTTTGCCTCAGTGCTATGGACCAGTTAACATCATACAGCACAACACATTTCCAGCCCATTATAGTTTTGATTGTAAGATTCAACTACATAAGGTCTTCCCTGAGGGACTCTGCTTCCATTAAGATTTTTTGTGTGTGTTTTTTGGAAGCCACAGTTATCACAAGCTTTCTCCAAGGAACTGCAAGTCATTAATTTGAGAAACAGAAATTATATATTAAAAATAGCTGTCTGTTGTTAACTCTAATGTTTATCAGAAGGGAGGATCTGTCCTTAAGTCACCCTGCAAGAGTTTCTCATGGCACGTGGCACACATGCTGCAGTAGGAGAAACAGTATGCTGTTAAGCCAATTAGCAATACAATCAAGGTTTTTCTTTTTCGGCAGTATTTCAGAACGGAATTACAATGCAGGGGTTTTAACAACCTCTCTCCACCAGCTGCCTGTGTAGCTGCTCAGTGGAGCCTCTGTCAATATTCCCTGCCTATCCTCATTCAAACAGTTACCCCTTGCTTGAGTAATCCACAGACCGAAGTCCTAATGGGCTCACACTTTTGTGCCTGACCCAGTAGACTGTGGGGATATGTGCATTACAAACATTTACACAGTACATGGTTCCCACAAGAATCCTGGTTTGATTAGGGTACTTAGAAATAGAGATTCTGAGCCCTAGAGAACCAGTTCCCAGAGTCCCCCTGTAGCAAGAACTCTTTAACCATTTTAGACCAGCCTAGCTATATATTTTTACTTTGCTGTTGGATAACATCTATATGTATTTATGACTATTTACAACCCTAGGTTATTTGTTTAATTTTGAAAAATAAGATACCAGCAAGTGTTGTCTGCAACTACTGAGCATGCATAGTCTTGATTTTTTGGGTTGTGTGTGTCAGGGATGGGGTGCCCCTTTAGGGTTTTTGCTGTACTTCTGCAAACTATGGGGTTCCTCTAAGCATCCAATACGTCTCTTATTAGAAACTGCTTCTGCCCACCCTATCTAGAGTCAATCTAGGCTGGGGAAAGACAGATGCATTGGGCAACTGGACATTTTTGGAAATTGCCTCAAGGGCTGCTGGTGACATGTCTGTAATATGAGACAGAAATAGCTGCCAACACCACCTCTCATTCTTACCTTCCCAGTGCCCTCAATGAGGGACAGAAACCCATGCAGAGGGAGGCTAAGGCATCATCTGTGGGGAAATAGTTGGTATGGGTGCAGATGTCAGATAGCTCAGTCAGTAGAGCATAAGACTCTCAGGATCACGGGTTTGAGCCCCACATTGGGTAAAAGATTCCTGCATTTCAGGGGATTGTACCAGATGACATTTATGGTCCTTTCCAACTCTACAACTTTATGAAGACATATATGGTCTGTTCTCACACACAAATTCTGAGACTACGAAGTCCAAATTCTCTGCCATCTGTGTCCAGGTGTTCCTTGTTGTCTATATCAAAACACACTTTTGTTTTCAATCTACCTATCTTGGGAACATCTCTTGAGAATCTGGATAAAGGGCAAGCATGTGAGCCTTTCCTAACTAGTTTGCTCTAAAGACCATCACAAAGAAAGCACAATAACATTGCATGAATTTGACCCTTACCACAGTGGATAAAAGAGTTGTTTAATTGTTCACAATCAGCACATCCGCCTAATGACGTCAAATGGCTGTGCTTGTTTAGAAATAGATTCTCAAGTTCTGAATTAAGCTTAGAGGTCTGGGCAATTATCTTGAACTAACCCCAGACTCTAGAGATCAGTTCAAACTAGCTGGATTTTAATTTGCTTTCTATTTATGTGTGAAGTGTATCTTCCCAGATGTAGTTTTTCAAAAAGGAGGAAACTGTGCATGAGAGATAAAGGGAATATTTAATAGAGTTCAGTGGTGTCTGGACAACACAATATAATTTGATTTTATCTGAGTATTTTGCATGGGATTATGCACCATATAAGCCTTAGTTTTCATAGAACTCCACTGCGTTTACTTTTATGGTCATTTCAAAGGAAGCAACACAAAGTCATTACTAAACTACAGAGCTGAATTTAGCTTCCAGTTCTAACAGGCAATCAAGATTGAAAATGATCATAACAAAAGTTAGCCACAATAATCTCTCTAGTAAGGGAAAAGTTGCACTATACTCTGTGAAGGACCAGAATAAATACAAGCAAAACTGCATGGGTATTATCTCTGATTTTCCAGTGAAAGGAGGCCTATAAATAAAGAGCATTATTATCTGTCTTTGTAGAGAGAGAATGAAAAATTAATAGGAAATGTAATCTCTCATTCCTAATAAGATATTTCTATGCTTCCATTTCTATGAAGTCTGGGACTGGTATATATAGCCCCGTGGTCTCACAGCTTATATTGTCCCATGTGCATGATGGAACTACTCCATTGCTACTTGTCCATGTGGTTAAGTGTGTGTGGTGCTAAGAGTCAGGCATAGCACCACTGTCACCCATCAGAAATATAGTCCAAATTAGAGTCACTCCCCAGCTTTGGGTTCATATGTTAATTAAAGCTCTGCATGGCTGCAGCAGCATGGCAAGGATATCTGCCTCATCTTCTGTTGGAGAGAAATTGTGGAACCTGGCATCATAATTTATGTCATTTCTGCAATGGAGGGAGAAGCGTGCCATTCCTCCACCACATGAGGGCTCGACATAATGTATGAATCAGGGCAATGGATTATTCTGAATGCACTTAGCTACACAGGCAGCAATGACTGATCCAAGTGGATACTGCATATTTATCAAGACACCTTGTTTTCTTACAGCATCCTGCTATGGACATACTTTGTACCAGAGGACAGTCCTGGCCCAGTTCATAATCTCCCAGATGCCTTGGACACTCGTCTCCTAGGTTAGTACTTTTATTTTATTTTCATGTATTATTACATTTCTATATCACCCTTCAAGGTGATGTTATGTGGTTCTTTGCCTCCTCATTTCATCCTCACAACAACCCTGTGAAGTAGGTCAGACTGAGAGATAGTGACTGGCTCAGAGTCACTCAGCAAGCTTCATGGGGATTTGAACTGTGGTCTCCCAGGTCGTAGTCTGACACTCTAACCACTACTGGCTCTGTTCTGACTTGTTTACATCTGGTTTTTGTCAGCAGAAGGATATTGCAGTGCTGCCTGTTGCATTGTGTCACCCCATTTTATCACTTCTTATTGGCTGTTCAAACAGCTACTTTGCTGGAAAGGTAATGAAAGTAAGGATTCTTTTGGAAGCAATAGGGTTTGAAGTTTAAACAGCGAAACGGCTCACCATGTAATTATTTCTGAAGCATACTGCTAACTGTTCAAGTCTAGGCTCACTTTAGAACCTGTTCAATCCATTTGCTGAGCAGCTCTATAGAGTGTTACAAAGGCTTTGAATCTCCGTAAATGACTGCATCATTGCTCAGCTTCAACCTTCCTTTCCTTGGCTCAATATACTTAACACTTACTGCGGCAAGCTGGAAATGTGCTGTTGATTTGTTCCATGACTTCTGTTAGGTCTGTGCTAGTGTCATGAGGTGGGACTAACAAGTCGTCTACACCTAATGAAAACAAAAGGTGCAATCAGTTTAGTAATAGAGAAGCAGCATTTAAGAGCCCGAAAGCCATTTCCACCCATCCTTCCCACCTTAATGTATTTAGAGAAAGAAGAAGAAATCCCCTGTTTGAAATCTCTCTCATTTGATATGCAAGAATTGCTCATTGATAATGGCCAGGCACGAGAGGCATAGATACCAAATTATACATTTATAGCTGAACTCATTTCTGCATTATAAAGCTTAGCCACTGTGCTTGAGATAAACCAGGGTGAATTGCGCAGAAGCAACTAGATGTAAAAAATTGCTATTAAGGTTTATATTATTAAGCACTAAAAGGGTGCTCGATGCCAGTATATTCCAAAGTCATTTAGGCAGCCTCAGTGCCCAAAAGGTCACTAAGTATTGCTGTGTGGAAGGTAGGAGAGGGTCTGTCTGTCAGGAGTGCGTGCAGGAGCCAGGCCCTGTGACTGGTAGGGCCTCACAGGACTGGGGCCTTCCTGAGTTTGGCCTGGAAGGGCAAGGCACGGCTGCACAGATGAGGCTTGACAGAAGAATCGTAGCACCTGGTGGCAAGGGCCTGGAGGGGTATATAAGACCAGCATTTCCCTCTGGCTCTTTGCCACAGCAACATGCTACCCACCTAGCTGTGCTTTGGCTTCCTGACTCCTGGTTTCCTGATTCTTGGACTCTTGGCTTCCTGACCCATGGACTGCTGATTCCTGCTTCCCCACCTCTACCCTGGTCCCAACATACCAAGCCGGGGCTCTGGGTGCCTGTAACACTGCCCGTGACACACTCCCAGTGCAGTCTTTCCATGGTTGGGGGAGAGGAGTAGAGGTCAGGATGAGCTCCTCTTGCACACTAATGCCTCTTCCCAAACTGGTGTGGACAAATATCTGAGGATATGTATTTTTCTCATGCCAATAAGGAATACTGCTGGCAGAAGAGTGCTAGGATCTAGTTCATTAATATTGTTCCAAACCCTGTTCTCCTTTTTATCTAATGTTTGCTTCCCCTGCCAAAGAGGTTTCCATTTTTCTGCCGCCTCTTCAAGGGTCTTGAGAATTTCTTGGGAATTTTTGTGGACTTTGAGCCAGCCTTATTTTGCAAGGTGGGTGGCTAAGGGTGGTGGGGGTTTTTCTTTCAAGTAAGCATTTATCCAGCACTCTGGATCATTTCCCTGGCAGCAAACACTTCTTGTTCTGAAAAAGCCCCATGGGAAATTACCTCATGTTGTCTTCACTTGTGCTTTAAGTGAAACATGGGAAGCTAGGGAGGTTGCAGGCGATTTGTAGAATGAGAAGAAAGGACACTCATAACCACCCCTTAGCTGCCTCAGAAACAAGGTAACTGCATCCAAAACCCTGCACACAATTTATGAGAATTTCAACAACACTTCCTTTCATCTTGATAATTTTCAGATTTTATTTTTCCCATTAATTGATGGAGAATGGCCAGGAAAAAAACAACAGGTGAAAGTTTTGGTAGAATGCTACAGATAACTGGGCCTAGGAACTTGCCTTTCTGAAGGGAATGCTGTCTGCACCTTATTCTTCTAAGTCTAGTACAAGCCCCCATAATGGCTTCTGGGCTGAAGAGAAGGAGCACATTCTCTCCCTCAGTTTGGCCTCTTCAGTGGCTCAGAGTTGCAAGTTAATTTCCCTTGATCCCAAAACCAGGATGGAGAGGCACTGGCGGAGGAAGAAGGGGCGGGGGGAGCACACCACCCCAGGCAGCGCGATCCCAGTGGGGTTCCATCGCGGCTGCCCCCCGCAGGCGGTGCGCCTCGCCCCCAGAATGCGTGCCCCGCCCCTTTGGGCAGCGCACCCAGGCCCCGGGACACGCACCAGCCATGCCCCTGCCTGCTGTCCACCCCCAGTGCCAGAGCATGAAGCTCCGCCACTGTGAAGAGAGGAACCAGAATTAAACTATATCACCTCAAAGGTAACAGAGACTTTTTAAATACCAATATTGTGTATAGAATAGATCAAAAAAAGAAAGAAAGACCTAAATATTTTGTAGTGGTTCCCACTACAACAGAACCAAACTTTTTCAGTAATAATGTACAACATTGTTTTACTTTCACAAGCATCTGGGCTGAGTTTTATTATTAAGCAATTTAGCAGTTGCTGAAAATTGAGCAACAATGTATTGGCCATGTTTGCATGTAATAAGCTGTTAACAGTTGTGTGCTGGTGCATGCAGCCTGATCACTCCTTTCATTCTCTTTCTGTGTAAGTGATTAAACAACATCAGAAAGGGGACAGGCTTTGTGCTTTGTTCCTCCCAACAAGCCAGGATTCCTAAATAACAACAAACTTTGGTTGAAGGCCTACTAGTACAGAGGGAGGAGTGATCAGGCCCCTTGTACCAGTATGTGCACAGTACGGTTTATTAAGCCAAGGTTCTTGGCTTATTGTTACATACAAATGTGGCCACTTTATTGCTGGTTTTAGATCATTTCACCTACTTGTTTTATGAGGTGCATTTTATTGTTTTGTATTAAACTTTGTTAAGCTGTCCTGAGGGGCTCTATGCAGCCATGTGGCAGGCTAACACTGATAAATGAATAATTAAATTTCCATACACTGGTTCATTTAAAGTGTTACGAATCTTTCAGCTAAAAGTTCTGCTGCCTTGATACAGGCAGGAAAGATGATGAAAGACTACATATATTAATTACGTCCTTCAGAACAAATCCAATACCTGCTCTAGAGAAGTGCCAAATTTCCATAATAAGCAGTTTTTTTAATATTTATTAATAGGGAATTTATATTCCAATTTTCCAATTCTAGAAGGAAGTAGTCAAGGCAGCTAAGGAAGTCTGTGTGCATGCTCTCTCTGTTAATGCTTTAGTTCTGGATAAATATGTACTTAAAACTATTATAGTGGACAGAGTTGAAATCGTATAAGCAAAAAGCTAGAAAAACACACACACTTCAACCCTCACGTCATGCATTTGCAAGGCGTCAGCTCTTTGATTTAGTACTATAAAGTATCTGGAAACCAAATCATGACAAATAGATCTCTGCCACTGCAGTGACTAGGCAACTTACCTGTCTGATTAAACTGTGAAGTGGCCTCCTCATCAGGTGAATAGCTGAGGCCCGAATGCTGAGGTGAAGTGCAGGAAGAGCCTCCATTAACTCTGGAATCTGTTTCAGGCTAAATTAGATTTTAAAATAATTTGAGTCCAGAAGTCCACTTCAGAATAGCAAAGCATACTTTATATCATATGATATAATCTATTGGTAAGGTTTTGATATCCAGGTTGGAGATGATGCTGATACAAATTTAATAAGATTAAATAAATAAAAGCATGGGTTACGGAGTTTGGTAAGGAATCTGTGTAACTAAAGTATTGCGTTGATTTGCTTTAGAATCACCACACAGATTACTTAAATAAGTCTTTGGTGTATCTGGAAGAAACTAAAGAAGCCCAAATAAATGGGCTGAATTATTTCATTATTTCCTCTTCTTTTTAATTAACATGTCTTTTGTCAAGGTGCCACATGCCAGCTCTGCTTCACCTCCGAGTGTGACATTGTAATCAATCTTTCGGACAAAAATGACAGCATTTCACAAGGAGCACCAATCCTTTGGGCTTACTAAAATAAAAATAGCCAGCACACCTCCCAATGGCAACCTGCAAGTTCCAGTGTAAAGACGTGCAACATTTTCTTCCTAACGACACGCTCCAGTGTTCTACACTACTACACTGTATTCACCGGGCTCAATAAGTTTTCCTTCCCACAAGCTTTGAGATAATGCATCCACCTTGACAGGTTATTACTCTAATCAACACGATTCAGTCAACATATCACTATAATAAAGCCGACTTTAAAGAAGAGTGAGCGGCTGGTGGGCAAATGATATATCGGAAGAACAAACAAACAACAGCTCACGCCACAAGGTAACAAACTAGCTGTCAACGCATAGCCCATTTTCAAACTAATAACATTACATAATCATATTTCTGTCTTTTAAGAAGAAATCTCTGAAGCTGTCGAATTAAGAGAAATATAATTGAGCTAGATTTTAAATTCATTCTCTATCTCTCTCTACACACACACAAACACTGAAAATTTCCAGAAGTTCTCAAACAAGCTAAGGAAAAGTGGAATGAAAGCTTGGTTGAGTGTATAAGCTAACTAATTTGAATAATCTGTTGTGAAACCCATCAAAACAAGTGGCACTATTTTTAAGAATGATTTTAGAAGGCTTGTAATTTGCAGGCATCTCTATAACTATGCAACGCTGGCTTTTAAGTACAGTCATTTCAGCATTAAAAACCTTAAAATATTCCCTCCAAATGTGTCCTTCCATTTTCCTGGCTGTGGCTATGGGAATAGCATTTGGAAACATTTGTAGCTAGGCATTTTTGAACAACATGGCTTTAATTTCAGCATACATCTTATAAAAACTTGAAAAGAGGGGCATTTTGAAGCTGTAGACAGACACCTAGCCTTGTATGACACAACATGCCTGAAATTTACATGAAAGTGTAATGGAATGAATTGAATTCAGAAGGAATCTAGTTTGGAAGGACACAGTGTCCCTAAATAACCTTTGTTGCCAAGGCAGAGCAAATCTGACTACTGTACCTGCTCAAGCAACTGCCGTAGTCGGTGAAGTTGAGATTCCAGCTGCTTGTTGTGATCTTCCAAAATCTGCATTCTGGCCTCCAGTCGGCCTTTGTGTTGCCTTAAAAGTTTGGCCTCTGCAATGAGCTCAGCGTCTTCAGATGTGTGCTGTGGTGAAACAGCCGAGTCTGGCGGTGAGCTAGGTGCACTAATTCCTCTCCGAAGATGCTGTTCCTTTAGTTGCTCATATTCGATTTGCAGCATCCTAAACCCAGTTTTAAAAGAATAATAACCAGCAGATTTCATGGCAGCCTAGACACAGAACAAATGAACTGGAAACATCTTCCCTTAAAAGAACATGTCTGCCATCATTATTCCACAGTTATGGAACTTATGTAGCAGCTGCCAAGTTACAATAGACTGTAACATATGCTTAGACATGGCACATTGGAAACACATCAATAGAGTAATTGGACACACTGAATGTTTTTTTGGCCAGATGTGGAAGTACAGTTTAAAGCATGCTTTCTCAACCTGGTGCCCGGACTACAACTCCCATCAGGCCTGGCCAGCACTGTCCAAAACATCTGGAAGGCACCAGGTTGGGGAAGGCTGTCTTCACTGTCAAACCCACCTCCGCTCTTGATTTCTCACCACCTGATTAGTCTACACCAGATGCCATGCTGCAGATGCTTTTGCTGCTTTCACTGCAAAGCACTCTTTTTGTATGGATGATGAAGAAAATTCTATCTGGGTTGATTCCATACAAGTCACCTCTAGATGCTTAAACCAAGTGGTGAACATGTGTGGTGTGACTCAACATCCAGTTTGTTTGGAAGCCAGGGAAGTTTGGAAACCCTTTGGCATGCAAAACATGTACTCTACCACTGAGTTATGAACTGCAGTCTTAAGAGGAACAGTATGGCTTTGGCTCACTTCAAATCAAGTTTAAAGAAGAAAATAGAATGATTAAATAACTGCCTTGAATTCAGACGCGGAGAGGGAAGGCCCAAGCTAACCAGTGGTGGGTTCCAGGCATCAGGATTGGGTTGAACAATGATTTATATTGGAGAGTTGATTTATGGGATGAATAAGGAAAGAGAGTAGTAGAAGAAAGGGGATAGCAGTGGAAAATAAAGGAAAAAGGCAATTCCCACCATTAAATTATTGGAGGATGATTTGGTTCCTCTGTTCCTCCTGATTCATGGGCAGATGGTGCATGTGTTCTACTTGTAATTTTTTTTAAAAAAAGTAATCTCTAGTGCTAGTGCCCTTTTCACAACCAAGCCTGAAATATATGAGCACATATATCAAGATATGTTAATAATGCACAAGGGAAGTTCACAGCACCTTTGTTCCTCCTCAAGGTCAGCAATGATGCGCTCAAGCTCTCCTCGTTCTTCCTTCTCCACTGATTTCAAGATCTGTGCTGGGCTCTGTGGCTGACTCACTGGTGACTCCCCTCCCAGAGTCTGGCAGTACTGCTGGATAAGGGCATGTTCGTCTTCCCTAGGGAAAAAGAAACCTAGCATAAATATATGTTACATGACTAAGGCATAAATAAGAATTGCTATAAATTCTTTACAGAAAGCATCAAGAGTGAAGCCATGGTGCATTTACAAATTCAATATCTTATGTGATAGCTGCAAATCTTGTAAGATTGCTTGTAAGATGCAAAACTGCAGTGATGGATTGGCTTAAAGGAAGACAAACTCTGATTTCAGTATCTATCTTATTAAATGCTGCTTGAAACAATTATAAGGATTGTCCTCTGCTTTCTAAGGCTATGTTCTTATGCACAGTTAGGTCTAGTTCACACCCATATACCCAACAAAGCAGGGAGGGTTAAAGTGATGTAGAGGTTCACACACAGCTGGAACTCAGTTTCAGCTGGAACTCAGTTCCGGCACCTCTCACCACTGCCATTACAAGAGAACAAGGAAGGTGTTCCTGGTGAGTTCAGGCACCCCTTTTTCGAGAAAAATAGTACCGTTCACATACACACTCATTGTCACATCTAGGAGGTCATGAGGGATAGGTGGGCACCTCACAGATTTGAATAATCCACCCCTTTTTCAGCAGACAGATACAAGTATATTCTGAGGGTGAAATGGCACAAATGAACTCAAAGCCTACTTCCTTGTCCCACTGCGGGACAAGGAGATTACCATGCCAGAGCAAAGTGTGAACTGTCCCTTACACATACACCAAACTCATATTTTAGCAGGACACGTACATACAGGATGACAACCAAAAGCCATATGTATGCATGACCTCATTGCACTGTGTACATATCAGAGTTTCCAAAAGGTTGGGATTGCATTATTATTTAGCAAGAATCTGGAGGAGTTCTGACCCTGAATGAGGAATGTATTTATTTGTAAGAGAAACAGAAGCAGATGCATCTTTTGAAAACCAGCAACAGCTCTCCCAACATTTTGTGCTTTGGACATCTGTTTTCCCAGCTAAATGTGTTGCACTCTGCATAACAACTTTCACTATAACTCTTGAAAAGTTTGATAATGAGCAAAAACAGGAAAAATATGTTCCCTGTATAAAACTGGAGAGAGCACACATTTTTAGATTGCACTTTCAAAAAACACACAAAAAAGCCAGGCTGATGAAGAGAAGAGGAAAAAGAATTCCAGGTGGTAGACTACCGCAGGTAAGATAATATTTTAAATCAGACATGCCAAAAATAGTTGGAAGGACCTAGAGGTTATGCTTTCTCCACACAGCTCAAACCACAAGGTCTAGAAGAAGGTATTCATTTTCATAAAGCTTCCTATGGATCAGATAGCTTCAGATGACTTAAGTAAGTGAGTAACAGATTGCTAGTTATAGAGATTGGAATGAGAGAGAGAAAACTGAAATTTAGAAGCTACCAACCTCTTTACAATGTATTTTTAAGAAATCAAGCAAATTCTGTGACAGCTGGAAAGGTAACCTTGAAATAAAATGGGTGATGGACTCCCAGACCAACTTTGATCCACCAGACCATTCCTGGCATACCGCAATCACCTCTCGCACACCTGAAGTCATTATCTCAGGTATGAGGGTGGTACAGGAGTAGCTTCAAAGGAAAACATGAGAGATTAAAGTGTGGTTCCTCTGCTGGAGCAGGGTACCCTCTCTCTACCCAGCACCTGATGGGCGGCAGGACTGTGGCTTGCTGCAGTATCACAAAGTGCTTTGTATTGAAACTACACATGTTCAATATGTGCATGACTGTGTATACACACATCAAAGTGTCATAAAGATGTCACTGAAAGGGCGGAATAGGAGCAGGGCAGGGTGTTTGCAGGCTTTTCCAATGGGTTTCAATTATACGTGATTTCACAGAGGCGTGTGGTACCTGGGAACGTATCCCCGCGTAAACGGGGGGCTGCCTGTGCTGCTAAAATGGAGGGAGAAACTTAGGAGGAAGGGATGCCATACAAGCCCCTTTGTGATCCTGGAGCCAGCCTCTTTGAAGGCAAGCTGAGTGCACACCATCATCATTGGGACATCAGGCCTCACCCACCTGTGGGTCACTGAGTCAAAAATATTGTCCCTCACCAAGCCACTTTCTTATGTGGAGGGTAGGGAAACTTTCCCACAATGGGCCAGAGGCAAGCCAGCAGGTGTGGGGTATAACAAACTTATTTTAATTTTTTTTGTATGTAGATGCCTTAATAGAAGCCCCAGGATATATTATCCCATTATGTTTTGCAGACAAATTCTACATTGCTGTTAACTAAAAGGTGGTGCATGGAAAATATCCTATATCACAATGCATTTTTGGGGGGGGGGTGTTGTAAAAAAGCTCATTTTCAATGGAAATTAAATGTACATAGCTACATTACATTAAAAGGTAACTAATTTATTGGGCAATTTTATTAAAATGTGAGCTATATCCATTATTCATTTCCTTTTAATTCAGAGGTTTCCATGTTAGTTCAAAACATTCAGCCTTGCTGTTATCTTCCTTTAGTTAGCTTACACAAATCTAACTGCGACACCACATTGTCCTCGGCTGAAATTTCACTGCCGTGGAAGCTTCAATGTAATTTTCGGCTTTTACAGCACTCTAAAGTTATGCAGAATAAGAATTATTCCTCTTGAAATATGTAATGCTCAGCTGCCAGGTGAATCAGAAGTGAAGGAAAATAATTTTGAACAAAATTGAAGAATCTGATTACAGTCATCATGTTTGCTAAAAATAAATATATTCTAAATCTCTTTAAATTATAGAGTACAACTATTGCTTTTGAGCAGTCATGATCAAAAACATGAGGAGCTGGAGGCACCTCAATGCTATCACAATATGCTAATAGG